GCCTTATATGTATAGATAAATGAATGGTTTGACTCACTATTGAGTGCTGCACTGCACACTGAGTGACAATGTAGAAATATTGTGCTGTGGGATAAAGCACATGACCACAAAGTCAGTTTGAACCATAAGGTCAATGGTTCAAACTCACCAGCTCCTCCTTAGAAACCCTAGCAAGGTCACTATGCGCTGGAACCGACTTGACAGCACTTAACAAAAACAAGAAAACTAGATTAATGTGCCTCACTAAACTATTCTCTTGGATGGCTCCTGTGATCAGAAGAATAGCATTAACATGAATTTCCACTGTTAAAACACAGTTTAGATTAGCTGAAATTATTTTTTCTTTGTGACCATAGTTATTGTATTACCTCTCCATTTCAAAAGTATTATTTACTGATAAAAGTTAGTAAAAGAAATAGCAGTACCTTGCTTTAGTAACTTTGCAATCTCACATATGAATAGTATAGAGCCTATTTAATAGTAAATTGAAAATGAGCACAGCATTTTGGATGGTATAAACTAATTGCGATTGTGTAACACCTAACATTTTCTCCCCCAAGGTAATGGTTTAGTAAGCTCTAACAATGATGATGGTCAATAATATTTTTTCTTCTAGGAAAGTGAGATAATGAAAGAAATCATGCAAAATGGACCAGTTCAAGGTAAGCTTGAATGAGATATGATTGCGTCTTACTAATTTCTTTTCAAAATGGCATTAAATTTTAGTTCACATAAAAGTGATTTAAGAAGAAGCGGCTGCTACGCCGAGCGGAGGAAGCAAGAACTGGAGTGTGATCAAAAGCTGGGTGGGCACCATGGCAGGAATCACCACCAACGAGGCGGTGAAGCGCAAGAGCCAGGTTCTGCAGCAGCAGGCCGATGATGCTGAGGAGGTGGCCTCCTTGAACCCTAGGATCCAGCCAGTTGAAGAGGAGTTGGATCGCGTTTAGGAGCGCTTGGCCACTGCCCTGCAAAAGCTGGAGGAGGCAGAGAAGGTTGCTGATGAAAGCGAGAGAGGTATGAAGGCTATTGAAAACCGGGCCTTAAAAGATGAAGAAAAGATGGAACTCCGGGAAATCTAGCTCAAGGAAGCTCAGCACATTGTGGAAGAGGCAGATCGGAAGTACAAGAGGTGTTTCATAAATTGGTGATTATTGAAGAGGACTTGGAACGCACAGAGGAGCCAGCTGAGTTGGCAGAATCCCGTTGCTGAGAGATGGATGAGCAGATCAGATTGATGGACCAGAACCTGAAGTGTCTGAGGGCTGCTGAAGAAAAGTACTCTCAAAAAGAAGACAAGTGTGAGGAAGAGATAAAGATTCTTACTGATAAATTCAGTGGCTGTCCCGTGCTGAGTTTGCTGAGAGATCAGTAGTCAAGCTGGAAAAGACAATTGATGATTTGGAAGATGAACTCTATGCCCCCAAACGGAAGTACAAGACCATTAGCGAGGAGTGGACCACACCCTCAATGGCACGACTTCTACATAAACTGAAACGCACCAAAGAGGATCACCTCTATACACAAAGGGTGCTCAACCAGACTCCGCTTGACCTGAATAAGATATAGAGCACCCCAGTTCTGCCCTGCCGCTTCTCCTCCCCTTGACCCTGACTCGGCCTGAGGCCAGCCTGCCCAGAAGCTGA